TGTACAGTGTCTGAATAGGGTTTTAATATAGATATCCATCTACCTAACAAATGGATGGCTGCATGGCAGTGCTGGATGGCTCTGGCTGTTTCCTTGGTGGCCCGGAGAGACAAATCTGCAGCTGATGCAGCTTTTTAATGTCATTGGAGCCCACTCCCTTGCCTTCATGCAGGTCTTTAAGCAGGTCAGTCTGGTATGCCTGCAGCACCACTATGGTGTGCAGACAAGTGCCAGCCTGACGTTAATTTGGCTACGGCATGAGTCACCACCTCTGACAGCTCCTCATACTGGATGGACTGGATGGCAAATCCTCAGTTTCATCCTAATCGACACTCACCACATCAACCTACTTGGAGGAAGAGAGGTGAAGCATTGTGCTCTCACTCTGGGGGAAAGAAACCGCAGTGTGTGGTTCCGAGCCCTGAGAGAGAGGGTGAGGGTGGAGAAAAGGCAAGGCCCGTCTCCAACCCCTCTGGCGGCAGTGGGACCAAAACTGTGAGGACCGCGAGCTTGCGCGCCCTCCTCAAATAATGCCAGGCGGCATTGTGTGCGCAGTGGCAGCCACTCACAATGCACACAATCAGTCCCATAGAGATCTGACCGTGCATGATTCGCTCCCAGACAAGCAACACACAGTTGTGTGTATCCTCACCCATAATATAGCATAGACAGGAACACAACCTAAAACGCTGCTTGTCCCTCTTTTCTTTGCTCACCATTTAACTGTACTGATTTGTGCACTGGCACAAGACATACACTTCTCCGACTCACTTTTTTGACAGACACAACACAGAGTGCTTGCTGAATAAGCAGAAGCTAATTGTCACAGCCATCTGCTCGAGTGGCCATGACAGCCACTAGAGGGCACTCCTCCTGGATCATTGTCCATTGCTTGTGGACTTCAGTTCCCATCACCCTTTGCACTCATGATTGTTCCATTACCCTCAGCTGTGTGTAATTAAGGTACTATGCTCACCTTTATACTGTATATATGTCATGTGGTTTTTGTCTGTTGTTGCTGGAGTTTTGAGTTCTGTTACCTTGTGTTCTGTTACTTTGTGTTTTTTGTTTCTCTGTGTTGGATTAACTTTTGCCCTTGTTTTCTGCCTGTTGCCCTGTTTTTGGATCATTGTTTGGGACTACAATAAACTGCACTTGGATCTTCTATGTTTTCCCGAGTATTCCGTGACACTAATGCTGTTTATGCCAGATGCACATTTAAGCTGCCTGGGCCCGTATTCATGAAACATTTTAGTGCTAAGAGTTGCTACTAGTGACACAATTCTAAGAAAATTCTTAGAAATGTGGGTGTTTCCTCTTAAAATTAAAGAAAATATCCTAGTAAAGAAAAAAGTAATTCAGAAAGCATCTTAACCATTAAAAGAGGTCTTAAGGTCCAAAATTGTTAGGAGTACGGACGAGGACTTTTAAGAGGCTTAAGAGTTTCTTTAGCAGTGGAAAATATGGACATGAAACATGAAGAGGGAGAAGAAATGTGTTGCACAATGCATGACAGTGAGTTAATAAGACGCTACACATTAGATCGTGCAGGGATTATGTTTGCGACCGATCTTATTACAGACACGCTAACATCTCCGACACCGCGCAGAAATGCCATAGCGTCAGAAATTGAAGTAAATCAATACGTTAACTACATCAACATGTTTGGCAACTGGAAAAATGCAACTATGCAGCAGTGATGATCTGGGTCTGTCATAACCTTTTATAAGCAAAGTGATAACACAAACAATTACAGCACTTCCAGAACCTTATTGTGTCGCTGTTCATTTCCTATAAAATACGTTAAGTATGAGAGCATGGTAAATAAAAAATAAAGAATATATATATATATACATATATAATGTTTTATATTTAAAACATTATTCTTAAACCTTAAAGGAAATCATATATTTTACTGTATGATTTCAGATTCAGTGTGAATAAATTGCGTAATGGGCACGGAGAGCTGAGTTAGTTTGGGCAGGAGGAGGTTTGGTAAAACATGAAAAACATTGGAGAGTATGGTAAAACATGAAAAATAACGCCTGTAATTTCAAAGTGAAGGCTTATAATAAACCCTACACTATAAAATCCAATAGTTTACCTTACTTAGATTTAATTAGTTATCTTTACCTAGTTGTTATACTTACTCGGTTTTATTAAGTAATAACTAATTTTAAGGCGAATAAAACAACTTACTTGCTGCAATGAGTAACTCTTACTTAACATCACATAAGCTATAAGTTATTCACCATTATAGTGATTAGCGTTTACTTTGGTTGGGCACTTGGAACTTGGTTTATGTTACTATAATTTACTTTCTGTTAATGCAGTAATGTATCATGAAGTCAGAGTTATTTGAATTCAAGGGAAGACAAGTAATAAATGGGTTGCTTTTAGAAAGTGACCTTAATTTAAGCGCTAGTGTATTTTTTTGTGTGTGTTTATTAATGAACTTTTACGAATTTCATTTTTCATCATTTCCTTGAGATGATTTTAATTGGACTTATATAATCCTTAAATAATGTGTGGTAATATGCTGAAGTCACACACAGACTTAAACATTCAGCATGTAACAATTCAATTTCATTTATTTTCATTAATTGTAACAATAACCGTTTTATTTGCTTTTATTGTTGTGCTACTACTGACACAAGACAGCAAATACAATTGGCAAATAAAAATAACAGCAACTGCATAATTTATTCATGCCGCAATGCACTCTGGGAGTCAGTGAGTAGCTATACTAAGTCATGAGTAAACCTAAATGAAAGGATCAAGTACCCCCAACAGTTCTTTTTTAGTTACTATAACTCTTGTGTAAGTAAACTATACTAACTAAGCATTTGTCAGTACAACATAATATTCCTATTTCACTTTACTTAGTTTTTTCAAGGCAATCGGTTTGCATGCTTTTTTTAAGTAAGCCCAACTAGATTTTACAGTGTACTCTTAAAAGTGTCCTTATATTTCCTTCTTGGACAACCAACCAATCCCAGTCTTCAAAAGACTGTGTCATAGCTAGCAATGGGGTCAGCCCCGCCTCCTCACTAAGATAAAAGTTTTATTTTTTTCCTCGCTAAGAGTTGCTCTCAGATTGGTCCTGAATCACTTTTAACCTAAGACTCCAAGTTAGACATTGTTAAACTAAATTAGGAGCTCTCTTAGAGGATTTTTAGAGTCTTTAAGAATATGGTCCCTGGTCTCTAAGCCACCCCACCTGTGCCGTCTTGCCACTCTATTGGACTGATTTCATATGTGCTTCAGGATGCGGTCATGCAGACGTGTTCCCAAAGCATTCTGACGCAGAGCCAGTTCCCTTAAAGGGGAACTAATATTGTATTTCTGTCTAAGCTGAGCAACTAAACATTTTCATCATTGTAAAAAGAACAACTTCATTGTTTGTGCCCAGTTTTGAGCCCTATTATAGTTCATTCTGTCCTAAGTGTATTAATAAAGGTAACACTTTAGAATAGGGAACACATATTCACTATTAGGGGTTTCCCTGAACAAACTCCTCATATGTTGCTTATTTATAGTCAGTAAGGTAGTTGTTAAGTTTAGGTTTGGGGTAGGATTAAGGGATCTAGAATATGGCCATGCAGAATTAGGCATCAATATGTGCTTTATAAGTATTAATAAACAGCTAATACGCTAGTAATATGCATGCTAATAAGCAACTAGTTAATAGTGAGAATTGGTCCTTAAAATAAAGTGTAACCAAAAACCTTTCCTCTTTTGCTCTTGTATGCTGAGGGGGCCCATGTGCCTTGATGAAATGGTTTGTTTACGCATGGTTTTTATAACAAACACCATGTTTGAACATAAGGTGGTTCATAATTATATTACCAGAAAACCTTAGGCCAAAGCTCGCTGGTTGACTTTGGAATCATATCATTGAATGTGTTCTGGACACTTGTGTAAACAGACGAGCAGAGCTGTCAAATGACAGGGGAGACTGCCGGATGGACCCAGGAAACCCAAACACATCATGAAGGTCATTTCACAGAGGATTTGGAGGAATCATGGACCATTTCCAGTTAAAAGCTCTGAAATGGCAAGGCTCCAGGGGTGGATAAGATTCACCCAGAGATAATGAAGACCCTGGAGGGAAATCAGGCTGCCTTTGCTTACAAGCCTGTTCCACATGACATGGGATTCTGGATTGTCCTAATGTCCTAATGTCCCAATCAGGCTGTGATCTTCAGAGCTTTCTTGGGTAGTTTGTGGCCGGGTGTGAAGCGGTGAGAATGCGCCAGAAAACAGTGTACTGCCCCCTTTGGATAGGGAGTAATTTGCTTCCCAGGGTGGAGGAGTTCAAGTATGTTAGGGTTTTGTTCACAAATGAGGGTAGGTTGGAGCATGAGATAGGTGCATCTGTGCAGTGGCAGCACTAATACAGTCTTTGTACTGATGTACTGTCATGGTGAAGAAAGAGTTGAGCCTGAGGGCAAAGCTCTCAAATTACCAGTTTATGTTCCATAAATAGGTTTATGGGCTGGACAGTAGTGGCAGAAAGAACAAGATTGTGGATTGATACAAGATGTCTGGGTAGACCCTGAGAGGCAGAGTGTGAAACTGGGAAGGGAGGGAAAATCTGAGAGGGACTCAGAGTAGAGCCACTGTTTCACCATGGTGAAAAGAGATTGAGGGGGATCAGGCATTTGGTCAGGATGCTTCCTGCATGCAGGTGTTCTGGCTATGTCCTAATAGGAAGACCCAGGATGTGTTGCAGGGATTATATCTCTTGGTTAGCCTGGCAACCCCTTGGCATCTCCCTCGAAGAGCTGGAGGAAAAAGATGGTGAAAGAACGTATGGGAGGTCTTACTTAATTAGTTACTACCAGGACTTGATCCCAGATAAGCAGAAGAGAGAAAGAATGAATGCTTGCAAGCTTTAGTAGTGTGCTTTATTAACATAAATAAATGTTAACGGGCTAGATAATAAGCCATGTTTGTAAATTTTTCAATTTAAGACTATTTAATTTTTTTTCCCCTAGGTGGCTCATCTTTTCTGGTGTCTATGGGCTCTCCTGCAGGCAAA